ATAATATAGAAATTCCAAGGAATAAGAAGGCGATGTGTCAGGATGTAATTGGCAGCACCTTTTTGTTTCTTAATGGTACGTAAAATAGTGGTGAGTCTAAAAATTTGTTGGCAGACAAAATTTGGTGAAATATGGCATAAGAGAAGATGATCTCTCTTTGTCCTCAAGGAGCTTGTGCTTTTTTTTTTTTTCAAGGAGCTTGTGCTTTAATCAGGATAAAAAATTAAAACCCAGGTAGTTAGAGCCAGTGTAGCAGTAAGCACTATGATAGAGGAAAGCATAGGGTGCTGTGGGCAGACAGGAGAGAGAACTGACCAGGCAGAAAGAGCTGGGGAGGCTTTCAAGGAGAGGTGGCATTGCAGCTAGAGCTTGAAGGATGCCTGGTAGCTCGTCAGGCAGAGAAGAGGAAGGGTGTTCTAACCAGAGGGAGATGTACAAAGGCAAAGATGCACATCCCATTGGGTAAAGGATGAATAGTGTCTTTATAGGTCAGGGGTAGAGAGTGAGGGCTCCCAGGTGCAGCTAAAGGAGTTTGGAGCATCATCTCTGTCTACAGTGTGCTGCCGGGCATGAGGATGAAAGCTGGGAGGCTGGGGAGGTGCTGCTGGGAGTGGCCCAGCAAAAGAGGGGTGAGAGTCTGGGTCAGGGAAGGAAGGGCAAGATGGGAAGCCAGGAGCCTTGCTGGCTGTCGGATGTTTTATCTCATTTGGTTCCTACAGCCAACCTTGGAGATTGGAAGTATCATGCCCATTCTACAGTTGAATAAACTGAGGCTGGGTGAGGCTCAGTGATTTGGATCAAAAGTTGAGTGGTGAGATCAGAATAGTACCAAGAGAAAGACAGCTGACTGGCCGTCACGCAGCCTCACAAAACGGCACAGCCGTGGAGGGGACACTGTGGCCTTGGGGCCTAGTCCAGGAGTCTGGCAGGTTTAGAGACTGGATTAGTCCACCTTCCCCACCCCCCCAGCAGAGCTGCTTCAACTCTGGGAGCTAGAGTCACGTTATACAAGCTCTGAGATGGGGATATGTATTATACTGGTTTACATTATACCATAACATACTGTAGCAAACCATATTATATATCGACTTACAATGAAAAGTAGAAGTGTCACCATGAGGACAACACCCTGGTTGCCAGCATTCTCTCCCTCTAGAAGACCTGTCTGTCTGTGGGAGACCAGGGTATGACCAGGTGACCTTCTGGGCCAGGAATCTAAGCAGGAGGTCAGTTATGGGCCTTTGCTCTTTAAAGGTATCGGCCCCTGACAGCCCAGTGCATCCCTCCTGCCACTGGGAGGACAAGGCTCAGAGTGCACTGGTGAGCCTCCCTCCCACTGAACAGCGCTGGGATCTACCTCTGTGTCTCACCAAGTCTTTACCGCGTTCTACCAGGCCTGAGATAGTCCAGCTCCCCGTTTCCTTCCTGACCTTGTCTGCGGCTCCTCACTTGCAAACCCCCTTCCAGCACTGGCCTCCTTGCAGCTCCTCCAGCACTCCTGGCATCCTCCCATCTCAGGTTTTCGCACCTGCAATGTCCTCTCTCTAGAATGCTCTTCCAGACACCCAAATAGCAGACTCTCTAATTTCAAGTCTGCTCAAGTACCAACTTATCAGCATAACTGGCCTTTAAAATATTGCAGTCTTCCCCTTCCGCACCTGGAAATCTCCATTCCCCTTGCCAAGCTCTTTCTTGGCACCCTCTGACGTATCTTTTCTTTGTCTCAGTTATCTTTTTTATTGTCTCCCTAGAATGTCAGCTACACAAGAACAGAACTCCTGTGTGTTTCCTTTAGTCTGCATCCTCATGCCTAGAACAGTGCCTGGCACATGATAAGGGCTTAGAAACTATTTGTTGAGTAAATGAATGAATGAATGAATGACTTTGCTTTTCCTGTACCTTCAGGCTGACACGCTTTCCCTTCCTGCGGCCAGCCGCTTCTGAAGGGCACATTCCTTCTTTAGATGCCTTTATCCTAAATCAAATGTAGCTTTGCTCGGGAAGGGCCATCCCGGCTCTTTTCAGCATTGCTTATCTTTGTCCTAATGCTTTAGGGCATCTCACTGTCACCTCTAACTCCAGTCCTAGGACTGGCCTGCGTGAGAGGATAGCTACCCTCTGACACGCGCGCAGCCTAGGGCCCTGGAAGTGGGTAACAGAAGTCAAGGTGGCTGTAAGAGCTCTAGGAAGAAGATGGGGCTGGTGGGGTAGAAAGAGGAGAGCCGAGTAACAGGGAGCCGGGCTGGGTTAGCGATTCAGGAGCAGCGGGCAGGTCATTCGGAGAGTGCTGTGTCCACAACATTCATTTCTATGAAGGCCGAGCTCACTTACCAGAATGAATTTGAATAGAGCAGCTGAAGCTGATGTGCTTTGTGAGGGCAGGAGTGGTTGGGCCTAGTGGCCTGCAAGCTGTACTTGAAGGTACTTCTCCAGTGAGGGTCAGGGGGCCCACTGAGACGGCCACACCCAGGCTGCAGGCCTCCCCACAAGGAAGGGACTCACTGCCTCTAGAGAATCTTCTACCCTCTGGGCTGGAGAAGGGCCAGTCTGAGACGCCTGAGGCTGCCTACATTGTCGAGATCTCTTAACACGTGGCTTTGTAACTGCTGGCTTGTCTCTCTGTGTCCTCAACCAGACAAAGAGATCTCTGGGGACAGGAGACTCCATTTGCACCCTGCCCCCTTTTTTTGTGAAGACTTTTTTTAGACTAGTTTTAGTTCACAGTAAAATTGAGGGGAAGGTACAGAGATTTCCCATGAGCCTCCTATACACACAGCCTCCCCCATTATCAAAATCCCCACCAGAGTGGTACATCTGTTACGATCGATGAAACTACTTTGACACGTCATCATCACCCAAAGTCCACAGTCTACATTAGGGTTCCCTCTTGGAGTTGTACGTTCTGTGAGTTTGAATAAATGTAGAATGACATGTATCCATCATTATGGTATCATACAGAGTATTTTCACTGCCCTACAAGTCCTCTGCACACCACCTATTCATCCCTCTCCCCTCCCCCAAGCCCTGGCAACTACTGATTCTTTTCCTGTATCTCCACAGTTTTGCCTTTTCCAGAATGTCTTCTACCTGTAGTTGGGCTGTACTATACAGTAGGTAGGCTTTCAGATTGGCTTCTTTCACATAGTAATATGCATTTAAGCTTTCTCCATGCCTTTTCATGGCTTGATAGTTTCTTTCTTTTTAGCACTGAATAATAGTCTATTGTCTGGATGTACCACAGTTTTTTAATCCATTTATATTTTGTTTAGCCATCATCTATCAATGGACACTTGGGTTGCTTTCCCATTTGCCTTTGAGTTATGTCCAGAATATTGGATAGGTGTTCATGAGCAGGTAATGGATGAACGAAGCTCAAATAGCACCTTGAGAAGGTCTGGGGTGGTGGAGAGTTGAAGAAATCTCCCCCCTTGAAGAAGAGGGTGCTGTCCAAGGAAGGCTGCTGTCACTTCAGAGCAGGGGGATGCTGATGAGTGAATGTATATAGGTTCTGAGACCTTTGTCGCCTCCCATGTCTGTGTCTGTTGTCTCCTATTCTAGCAGCGATTAGGTTCTGAGACCTTTGTCGCCTCCCATGTCTGTGTCTGTTGTCTCCTATTCTAGCAGTGATTAGCAGTCACAATGTCAACACTCAAAGGGCCTGTGGATCTGTTTTAAGGGATGACAAGGAACTGAGTAATGGGGTGAGTCTATCCAACTTTTAGCCTGCTCCAAGAAGATGAGGAGCCTCAAGGTCCAGGGCAAGAAGTTAGCATTTATTGAGCACCTATGGGCGCCAGGCATTGTGCGGGCCCTCATCCATCTGGTTTCACAGATTCCTCCTAACAAGCCTGTGAGGTCAGGCTGATCCATCCCCCCCCAGGTGCTCCCTGAAGTCCAGCCAGGGTCAGAGCTGGCCCAAGGTCACACAGCTCTTACATCTGGACTTGGACTGCTGCTGTGTACTGTGCTCTTGCCTCCAAACCCCACTGTCTCCAGGTGGGCTGAGCCACAGCTATGGTTGGCATTTGGGAAAGCCCTGGGGCTGGTGTAAGATCAGTCAGGATGGGGTCTTGGACATTGTGGCCCCAGAGTGAGCCAGACAGCCTCTGTGGCCCTTCAACCAGAGTCCCTTAGCTCAGTCCTGGTAGCTTCTGGAAGGTCCAGAGAGGCCAGTGGGTCTGGCTGCTGACCTTCATTAACTGAGTACTCCTTGCCTATCTCAGGAGGCCCCAGATGGCATGGAAAAGCTGAGGGTCAATTGGAAGTTGACTTGTCCTAGAAAAATAATCTATCTCCTACTCCCTCATCCTATGTCCTCTTCCCAATGCTCACCCCTGGGTCCTCCCCTCAGGCATCAAGAAATGAGGGGTGGGACTTCCCTGGTGGTTAAGAATCTGTCTTGCAATGCAGGGGACTCCGTTTCGATCCCTGGTCGGGGAACTAAGATCCCACATGCCGCGGGACAACTAAGCCCGCGTGCCGCAACTACTGAGCCCGCGTGCCACAACTAGAGAGCCTGCATGCTGCAACTAATGAGCCTGCATGCTCTGGAGCCCCCGCGCCGCAACTAGAGAGAAGGCTGTGCACCCCAACAAAGAGCCTGCATGCCGCAACAAAAGATCTCACGTGCTGCCACTAAGACCCAATGCAGCCAAGAAAGAAAGAAAGAAAGAAAGAAAGAAAGAAAGAAAGAAAGAAAGAAAGAAAAAGAAAAAGAAATGAGGAGTCACTCCAGCTGGTATTCTCATTCTGGAACCTGTCAGTTCCCAGCCATATGTCTATGGGCAAGTCATTCATCCTTTATGTGTCTTAATTTCCTCTTCTCTAAAATAGGGATAATTACTGTACCCACCTTATAGTGTCGTTATGGGATTTAAAGGAGTTAATAAGTGTAAAGTGTTTAGCATGGAATCTGTATGCTGTGGCTCAATAAATGTTAGCTTACATTATTAGTAGTCCCTTCTCCATTTGCAGTGTCCTTACTGTCATTTCTACTGCAGACCCAGCTCTCCCACAACCTCCTCCAAGAAGTCTTCCCTGATTCTGGTCAGAGGGATGAAGTGCTCCAAAGACCCCAAAGTGCTTTTCACCCTCTTACTCATGGTGTTTATTTGTGGGCATGAATCCTCTCTCTTGCTGATTTGCAAGCTTCTCTGGGCCAGGATGGTGTGCAGGCTGTGCAGCACCAAGCATGTTTCCCCTTCGATCTTGAGGCCACGTGGAGATTACAAGTACTGCACAGGGTGAGGAGACCCAGGGCTCGGCAGAGAACTCCATGTGTAGTCGGCTTGGACACATCTTGTTCTGGGCTCCAGGTTCTCCATCTGCACGATGAAGACTCTGGATAGATGCCTTCCGAAGTCCTTCCAGGCATGACCATTTTATAAATAAATAGAAGGCACTAAATCCTTCAGAAAGTAATTTCTCACATCTGCCAAGCTGGACTTCCCAGCCTCCAAAATTCCAGCTCAACATCCATATGTTCATCGTTGGGTTTAGAGCTTGGGTGCTGGAGTTAGTGGAGACCTGGGTTGAATCTTGGTCCTTAGTAATGGCGGCTGCATGCAAGTTACCTCCTCACTTCCGGGAAACTCCCTTTCCTTGTCTGGACCTTGGGGATGATAATAACGTCAGATACATTACAGAGCATTATATGAAATAATTTTTAAAGGTCTGCCTATGATGGAGTCAATCAACTACAGCTGTTATCTCATTCTCTGAAAAATATGAGAAGCAAAGACAAACACTTTTGACTCCACTTCTGACCAAAGCTTTACCTAAACAAATAAACAATAAAAGTTGTGTTTAAAAGTGGGGGTGGGTGGGCTTCCCTGGTGGTGCAGTGGTTAAGAATCCGCCTGCCAATGCAGGGGACACGGGTTCGAGCCCTGGTTTGGGAAGATCCCACACGCCGCGGAGCAACTAAGCCCGTGCGCCACCACTACTGAGCCTGCGCTCAAGAGCCCGCGAGCCACAACTACTGAAGCTCGCGTGCCTAGAGCCTGTGCTCTGCAACAAGAGAAGCCACCACAATGAGAAGCCTGCGCCCCGCAACAAAGAGTAGCCCCCGCTCACTGCAACTAGAGAAAGGCCACGTGCAGCAGCGAAGACCCAATGTGATCAAAAATTAAATAAATGGGGCTTCCCTGGTGGCGCAGTGGTTGGGGGTCCGCCTGCCAATGCAGGGGGCACGGGTTCGTGCCCCGGTCCAGGAGGATCCCACATGCCGCGGAGGGGCTGGGCCTGTGAGCCACGGCCGCTGAGCCTGCGCGTCCGGAGCCTGTGCTCAGCAGCAGGAGAGGCCACGGCAGTGAGAGGCCCGCGTACCGCAAAAAAAAATAATAACAATAAAATAAATAAATAATTAATTAATTTTTAAAAGTGGGGTGGGAGTGGGGGATACATGTCACCATTAATTAATGTGCTAATGTAGTTTACTAATGGTAGCCCTTTGTTCGTGGGTTTTATTGCATAAGTATACCTTAAAGTATAGATGCTCCCTAAAGAAAATATTTTCTAGACAAGTGCCTTCAACCATTTGACCTGGAAACCTTCCCATCACCTTGCCAGTTCCACCTATTCCCCTAACTGCTCTGCTCAGGCTCAGACCCATGCAAAGGGAGGACTGAAGTTTTGTTCCACTGAGGAAACCGATGGTCACAACTTCCCTTGAAAACCAGGTGATAACGGTGTTGACTACATGAGTTCAGTCTGTGCCAGCCACCAGGCTAAGAGCTGCATATGACTTAGTTCCTTAAAATCTCCTTGATGTGCTCTGCAGTAGGTGTTACTATGATCCCCACTTCACAGGTGGGAAGACTGAGGACCAGAAATATCAAGACACTTGCTTGAGATCACAAGGCTGGTGTAAGTTTTGAAGTCAGGATTTAAATGCGGGAACCTAATTCCAGATTCTCCAAGATTAGCTACTGGGATTAATTATTCCCTCGCCTGACAGTTGATAAAGCTTACAGGTGGGGAAAGGCAGCTAGATGAGGTGATTACAGGGGACCAGAGGGAGGGGACAAGCGCAGTCAATCCCCCCTCCTCGCCTCCCCCTGTGCCTGTTGTAATTCCGGTGCTCAGCTGTTCTCCTACACTGTTGCCGCCGTTGAGCCTCCTACTGGTCCACACCTCCATTCTGGCTGCTTGGGGTCAACCTGCCACCTGGACAGCCAAGGAGATCCTTCTGATAGTGAATCTCACTATTCAACTATATCATCCAAAAACAGACAAATGAGTAGCGAAAGTATACATTCTTCAATAAGTGGTGCTGGAACTACTGGCTGCCATTCATGAAAAAAGATTTACACACACACACACACACACACCACACACCACACAGGACTGGAGCCCTAACTTCTGCAAAATAAGCTCCAAGTGATTTAAGTATTTAAAGGTAACAAATGTAACCATATTAGAAAAATGTATAACCATTTCTATAATTTTGAAATAGAAAGAGCTTTCCTAAGTACTTTGCAAAAATACAGAAGTTATAACAGATGGACAGATTTTTTGCTATATAAACATTTCATATTCATTTGTGTAGGAAAAAATACCTATAAATAAAATTAAAGGGGAAACACAAAATATTGGGGAATATATCTGCAGTGTATGTAACACTGAAAAGTTAGTATCCCTGCTACATAGAGCCTTCTTTTTTTTTTTTTGCAGTACGCGGGCCTCTCACTGTTGTGGCCTCTCCCGTTGCGGAGCACAGGCTCCGGACGCACAGGCTCAGCGGCCATGGCTCACGTGCCCAGCCGCCCCGCGGCATGTGGGATCTTCCCGGACCAGGGCACGAACCCGTGTCCCCTGCATCGGCAGGCGGACTCTCAACCACTGCGCCACCAGGGAAGCCCCATAGAGCCTTCTTTCAGAATTATATGAAAAATTTAATGACAGCATGGACAAAGTATGTGAACTGCTAATTACAAAAGAAGAAATAAAAATGACCAATAAACAGATTTTAAAAGTTCAGCTTTATTAGTGATCAAAGAGCTAAATGAAACAAGATACCATTTTTCACTGATTGTGTTGATAAATGGGACATGTGTCCGCCTCTTGTGGGAGTGAAAGTTGACCCAAACTTTCAGGAGGATGCTTTTGCAGCTTGAACCTGTACGGAAATAAAAATGAGCATAACCTTGAGTTCTAGGAATTCATTCTGGGGACATATTCTGGGGACATCAGAAAGCTTTGGGTCTTTGGATGAGATAAGAATTACATGTTGTTTGAAGTATGTGCCTGTTTGTTTCTCCAGGAGCTCGTGAGGGAGGCCAGCCTGGTCAGAAATGAATCTTTTTTTTTTTTAATTAAATTTTATTTATTTATTTATTTATGGCTGCGTTGGGTCTTCGTTGCTGTGCGCGGGCTTTCTCAAATTGTGGCGAGCGGGGGCTACTCTTCGTTGCAGTGCGCAGGCTTCTCACTGCGGTGGCTTCTTTTTTTGCAGAGCATGGGCTCTAGGCGCGCAAGTTTCAGTAGTTGCAGCATGCGGGCTCAGTAGTTGTGGCACACGGGCTTAGTTGCTCCGTTGCATGTGGGATCTTCCAGGACCAGGGCTCGAACCCGTGTCCCCTGCATTGGCAGGCAGATTCTTAACCACCGCGCCACCACGGAAGTCCCAGAAATGAATCTTATTCCTAACGGTGCGCACAGATTCTAGCAAAGGGCCAAGCGGAAAATACAGCTTAGGGAGTGTGTGATACCTGGGTGAATGGACAGAACGAAGAAAAGGAATAAATAGAGGTTGGTACATGCTTTCCAGCCACACCGGCCCACTCCAGTCCGCTCTTCTGGGACCAGGGAGGAGGGAAAAGTTGGTGCAGACCCTGGTAAAAATTCAGTGGACGGACCAGTATTTACTACCTAGCCCCAGCAGTGTAGGAGAGCTTGGTTACTCCATATTCTTGCCAACACTGGCTATCACCTGACTTTCCATTTTAGCCCTTTTCTCAAGAGTCCAGAGGTGTCTCTTGGTAGTTTTAATTTGCATTTCCCTTCTGCACCTTTTCATATGTTTATTGGCCATTTGGCCATTGTGTGTGTGTGTGTGTGTGTGTGTGTGTGTGTGTGTGTAAAGTGTCCATTCAAGTTTCTCCTTTTCAGGTTTCCCTGGTGGCACAGTGGTTGAGAGTCCGCCTGCCGATGCAGGGGACACGGGTTCGTGCCCCAGTCCGGGAAGATCCCACATGTTGCAGAGCAGCTGGGCCCATGAGCCATGGCCGCTGAGCCTGCGCGTCCGGAGCCTGTGCTCCACAACGGGAGAGGCCACAACAGTGAGAGGCCCGCGTACCCACCCCCCCCAAAAAAGAAAAGTTTCTCCTTTTCCTCCTCCGTCTGCACATTTTTCTATTGGTTCTCTTTCTGTCATTGACATGTAGGTGTTCTGTATACATTGTTTACAAGTCCTTTGCTGGGTATATTTTTGCAAATATCTTTCTCAATCAGTGCTGTGTTTTCAATCCCTAATGGTCTCTTTTGAGGAACCATTCTTATTTTTAAAGTAGTCCAATTTATCAAAATTTTCCTTTATGATTAGCGCTTTTTATGTCTTATTTATAGGAAATTTTTGCCTACTTCAAGTCATATTCATATTCTAGTGAATTTTATATATATATATATTTTAAACTTATTGTTTTCGTTTTAACATTTAGATCTATAATCCATCTGGAACTGATTTTAATGTGTGGTTCAACATTCTTTTTCATGTGTTTATCCAATTGATCTGGCACCATTTATTGAAAACATGGTTCTTTCCCCTCTGCATGGCCATGTTACCTCTATCATAAATCAAGTAACATGTATTTGTGAATCTGTTTCTGAATTCTCTCTTCCAAGCTATTGGCCTATTTGTGTCCAAACTACCCTGTTTTAATTCGTGTCGTTTTATAATACGTAGTGGTGTAAGACCTCCAGTTTTGTCTGAGATCGTCTTGGGTATTTTTCAGCCTTTTGTGTTTCCATATACATTTTAGAGGCAGCTTGTCAGTTTCCACAATCACCTTAAAAACTGTTTGGCAGCATCCGCCAAAGCTGAACAATAGGACTCCTAGGTAAATACTTAACAGAAAAATATCCAGGAATGTTCCTAGCAGCTCTATTCCTAAGAGCTCCAAATTAGAAACAAAGTGTCCATCAACGGTAGAATGGATAAATAAATAACTGCACAACCACAGTGGAATGCTGTGCAGCAAATGAGAATAGATTAACCAGCGCTCTACAAAAGGACATGGTTAAATCTCACAAGCATGATGTTTAATACAATAAGCCCAAACCCAGAGAGGTCACATAGTGATTCCATTTATACAACATGCAAGAAAACAAGCAAAGTTAGTGTATGGTGTTGGAAGTCGGGAAAGTCTTGTCTTTGGGGGAGGAAAGGTCATGGTGCCAGCCTTCCGGGGGGGCTGAATATATATTCTTTCACTTTGGGAACATTCAAAGGCTTATATGATCGTGCGCCTTTTCATATGCACATTATACTTCAATAAAAAGTTTACTTAGAGATTGACTCAATGCAATGACGTACAGTGAAGGCTTACTGTATGCTGAGAACCTGATCCTGCCTGAGCTGGGGGTAAATATGAGGACAAATATAAATACAATGTGGTTATTGCCCTGGGGAGAGTTCAGGGTTTGGGGGCGGTGGTGGGAAGGGTTGGAGGCACAAACTTCTATTTTATGAAGCATTATGGGAGCAAAGGGACCATTCTTGTAGCCTTGCCTGGGGGTGGGGGAAGGTATGTTGGTTATTGAGTGCTAAGTAGGATTTCAACTACTGTAGTCAAGGAGCTCTTAGTGTTTTTGAGGCCAGGAAATAGAAACATATGAAACTA